TTTGATCAACAACCAATTATTAATGAATCCAATGATGAATCTCAAAGTTCAAATTCATTAGATTTTGATTTTGATTTGATATTTGGTGTTCTTGACAGGGCTGTTGATGCTGAAATAAATGTTGATGATAATCGAGTAACAGAAGCATCAAAACATACTCATGACGAAAGTCTGCTAGTGTTACAAACTGATCAAGTGGAGGGGGGAGCACTTGAATTCAACTACTCGTGTTAAGGGGGTGCATACTTTCGAGGGGCAGAGTAGGAGAATGAATGCTAATGTCGAGGGGGAGCATCCTGGATATAATTCTATCGAGGGGAAGCAAAATCAAAATGATCAAATTGATTTGAATAATGAAAATGTAACTTTTCATGATTCAAATGACAATGTGTATGTTACAGGTTCATAGAATGATAAAACATTTGAAGATGTACGATTAGAATTTGATCCTGTGTATCCACCGTTGGAGAAATGGACACGAAATCATCTAAAGGAACAAGTTCTTGGTGATCCTCAAGATGGAGTTCTTACTAGAGCTCAACTTCGTTCCAAGAATGAGGTACTCAATACTCATCAAGAATTTTGTACGTTCAATGTCTTTATTTTGAAAATTGAACCAAAAACAGTCAAGATTGCTATGGCAGATCCTGATTGGATTGTTTCTATGCAATCTGAGTTGGCTGAATTTGAATGAAATAAAGTTTGGCGTCTAGTTCCTAAATCGAAAGATGTATCAGTGATAGGGTTAAAATGGATTTTCAAAAATAAAACTGATAGAGAAGGTAATATTGTTCAAAATAAGGTTGGGCTTGTAGTTAAAGGTTATTCACAACAAGAAGGTATAGACTATGAGTAAACCTTTGCCCCTGTTGCAAGACTCGAGGCTGTTCGAATATTTTTAGCCTATGATGCGCACAAGGATTTTGACGTATATCAAATGGATGTGAAATGTGCTTTTCTAAATGGAGTTCTCAAAGAAATGGTTTATGTGGTATAACCACCAGGTTTTGTTAATGCTCAATACCCTGATCATTGTTATGTATTAGATAAAGCTGTTTATGGGTTAAAACAAGCAACAAGAGCATGGTATGCAACTCTTACAAATTTTTTGAAGCAATCGAAATTGAAACAAGGATTAGTTGATCCCACACTCTTTCGAAAGAAAGTTGGGAATCATCTTATGCTTTATCAAATTTATGTCGATGATATTATTATTGGCTCTGCTGACCCTGCTTGAGAAGTTTGGCATGATGAATAGTTTGAAATTACGTGTACCGATGGCAGTTGGAACAAGGCTAAGTCCATCACTTGACAAACCAACTGTTGATCTCACATTATATCGAAGCATGATAGGTTCATTACTATACCTTACAGCTAGTAGACCTGATATTATGTTTTCGGTATGTAATTGTGCTAGGTACCAGTCAAATCCAAGAGAACCTCATCTTACAGCAGTAAAGAATATATTTCGCTATCTCAAGGGAACAGTTTCGTTAGGATTATGGTATCCTTCGAAAACAAGGTTTTTCATTCATGCATTCTTAGATGCTGACCTTGGTGGGTGTCAACTTGATCGAAAATCACTAGTGACGCATGTCAACTATTGGATGGGAAGCTTGTAAGCTGGCAATCAGGAGAAACAAACATGTGTTTCGATTTCCACAGTAGACGCATAATATTTTGCTGCTGCAGCTTGTACTTCTCAAATCATTCGGATTCAAAGTCAACGTCGTGATTATGCAATCAACATGAAGAAAATTCTGTTGTATTGTGATTCACAAAGTGCTATTCGCATTTGTCACAATCCTGTGCAACGTTCAGAAACAAAGTATATTGCTCTTCGTTATCATTTCATCAAAGATCATGTTGAAGATGGCAATGTTGAAGTACATTTTGTAAAGACAACTGATCAGCTTGCTGATATCTTTACAAAGCCATTAGATGAAAAGTCGTTTGTAAGAATTCCGAAGGGTCTGGGAGTGATCGATGCAAACTCAGTTCCAGGCTTAGTTTCGAAAGAATGATAAGGGAGAATGGTTAAAAGATGTCGATTCAGCGGTTACTTGTAACAACCCGCTATTTTTTACTTTGTAAAAGTCAACAAAAAGTCAAACCCATCAAATAAAAGTCAAACTTAGTGAATTATATTTGATACATTTAAACACTTGGTAAAGTGTTGTAGAAATTAGAAGTTGAAATACACAAAAATCCGAGAATTCTCGCTTGACCGAAAACCCTCGGATTCCCTTAAACACTTTGGAACGCAAACAATTTGCAGTCACAAACAATTTGCAGCCGCAAACTCCTTAGACGCAAACTCCTCGGACTGCAAACCGTTTGCAGCTGAGAACCTAGGGTCGCAAACGGCGTTTACACCCGAAAACTCCTTCGGACCGTAAACCACTTCAGAGGGTTTCCTCCTTGCATCCTTATCCTTCCTCGGTTAGTGTGCACAACCGTAAACCCTTAGTCGGTTTGAGTTTACGGCCGAGAACCATTTACAGCCGCAAACTCACACATATATATACATGATATCTGAAATCTTTCCTCATTCTCTTATAGTTCAACCACAAACTCAACATTTTCTCTCAAGTATCATAACCAAAACCTCCTCTCTCCTCTCAAGAACATACGAAAATCACTTGTATCTTCATAGAATCTTGCAAGAATCATTCCTTGATCTTGTTTTCATTTCAAAAGCACCTTCCAATCATAATATATTTTGCCGTAAACACCCAAATTATACTAGTTTTTATCAAGAACACACGAAGAACACGAAGAACGCGAAAAACTATTCTAAGGATTATTGTAAGTCTTTTTACAATAATTAAGTGTTGTTTAACACTTTAAACATCATTAGATTATCTAATTTATAATTAATTTTATATTAATATAAATTAGGATTAGGTCTTTGTCACAAGTATTAACTTGTGGATTTAGCTCTACTACACCGTATCTACAACCGGAAACTTACAAAAGGTGAGTTCATACCCCTGCATTTTTACTATTTTTCACTGTTTTACGGGGGGGGGGGGGGGGATACAAGTCTAAAAGAGGAATATTGTGTTTACAATCAAATGATTTCTAAATATTTCTAAACGATTTAAACTACTAAATTTTTTTTAAATATTGTCAAATTCTTTTAAATGTTTTAAAAACTCTTTTAACTTATACTTTTGCCAAAATCATATTCATACGTATATATTTATATAAATAATGTTTAAAGGGCTTAGGACTAATAATTCGTTTTATTTCTCTTTACCTTGTTTGGATGTGGGCTCGGAGTAGAATTATTTGTCCGAATGTCGTTTCAATTTTAATTATATATATATATATATATATATATATATATATATATATATATATATATATATATATATATATATGTGCGTAGGTTATTCTATTCAAACTAAGTATTGTGTTATTGTATGCATAATTGAGGGCCAATCATTTTACTTAATTTTGGAAAGTGAATAATACATATTATTAAATTAAATATAATTAAAAAATACCAACTAATTTCATTTTAAGGGTATTTTAGTCAATTAACATAAATTTAAAAAAGGAAAATTACATATTTTAAGAAAAATAGATTCTATTAATTTTAAAAATATGATTGTATGGATGATAATTCTCCTAATTCGAAAATTCTGACGGAATATGTTTATCAATATATTGAAAAATAACAAATATGATTGAACCATACAATAATTACACATTCTGACATAATATATATTTTGATTTAATGAACTTCTTGAAGAAGAACAAAATTTTGGATACAAGTTACAAAAATTTCATTACATTCTTAGAAAAAAATATATATATATATATATATATATATATATATATATATATATATATATATATATATATATACTATTCTATGCTAATGTTATACTTATTAATAACACAAAAACACAATATATGAATCATTCTACCAGAATATACTATTACATATATATTTTTTCATTATATTGTATATTATTCTGGTAGAATAATCCATTCTTTTTGGAAGATTGGTGGTCATTGTTCATCTTTATCCTATACAATGTTCATCTTCAAAGTTATATTCTCACAGAATCAGAATTCAAGATTCCATTCCAGTAGAATGTTGTAAGTTTCATATGTACCATGTTTTGCTTTGATATCTCTCGTTTCGTACCTACAAAAATAATGGTATTCAACACTTGATCATTATAAACCAACAATCTAAGATAAAATTCAAGCATAAAGAAGCAAACCAAAATAAAGTCACGCAAAACCCATTAAAGAGAAATGGATTCGTGATTCCATTCCAACAGAATTATAATTCATGATTCCATTCCAACAGAATTGGATTCGTGATTTCATACAATTCGTGAACAAATGCCAACAAAATTAGAATTCATGATTCCACTCACCCCTCTCTTCTACGTTTCCTCTTAATGAACCCCATGTTTCCTTTCATTCTACATGGATTCCAGTAAAGAAATACAAGAACAATCTTTTTCTTGTCCTTATGTACCCAACAAACAAACAAAAAAAGAGGGCATTCCCCCATTCGTTCGAAAAATATATATTTTTATACCAAAGAAAGATAAAATTGGATTTTAATTTTAAAACAGATGCTTTGTAGTTCATAGTTCATAGTTCATACCCAAAGGAAAATTAAGCATACCCTGAATAACGGTCTTGAATAAAAATTGAAAAGGTTGGTTCAAGCATTTTATCAACTAGTTGGTGTGCATCCTAAGAGCTACAATCAAATCTCATAACGAAGGCAGCAAAATATCCCCTATTCATTTCATCTTTACTGACCAAAATCACACAAACTTCAACAAAAATTCAACCACATCTTAGACAATAATCCACTGATGATTTAAGTAATTATAAGAAATAGAAAACGCACCAATTGCTGCTCAACAACAGCATAAATCAAGGCATCGTATGTTCGTCACTAGCTGAACACGCGTTATCATCTTTATCTCCAGAAAAATCGGATTGATGAGCGGACCCAATAATCAGATCTTTTCAACTGCAGAGGAATCTTTTCCTAAACAAACCTGGATCATTTTCAGGGGGAAAACTGAATCGTCACAATGAGGAGAGACAGCCGGCGACGCAACAGCCGGCGGCAGAGACGATGACGGTCGATTAGTGTCACCGGTGGAGGCGCGATTCTGACGTTGAAGACCAAGACCTTCTGCGGTTCCTCCGATAATTTGAACTTCATCATTTCTCGCCGGTGATGTCCGTCGCAGACATCGACCTCTTCCTCCATGATCGCCCCCTGGATCGGTGTTGTCCCGATACTTCTTCCCTCTGCACCTCCTCGCGATTTCCCAACTATCACATAAGCTCCATCGCGTCGACATGGCCTGTTCCTTCGTTTCTGTCTAGGGATTTAAAGGGTTAAATGTAAACGATTTTGCCTAAATTAAAGGGTTTATGAATTGAATAATTAATTACCAAAATTAATTAAAAGCTAAGATTACAATGTTAGCCCTATCTAGGTTTTTAAAATGATTGGTCCACATTTATGCATACAATAACACGATAATTACTTTAAACACCTGAACCTATTTCTTATATATATATATATATATATATATATATATATATATATATATATATATAGATATATATATATATATATATAATATATATATATATATATATATAGATATATATAGGAGTAGGATCAAATGAGAACACCTAAAAGGTTGAGAACGCGAGAACATATCACAACCTTGTAAATAATTAGATCTATGACTATTATTAACTGGACCATTTATGAATATTTATAAAACTGATGTGCTAAATATGTAACTTTGAAATGGCAAGAAGGGTACAATAGGAAATCCATATAATTTAATTAAATAGAAATTCATATAATTTTTCTATCTCTCTCTCTCTCTACTTAATTAGAAGACCCTAATCTAATTATTTTGAAAAAACCGGCCGCACACCCCCACCTTCTTCACTACTATTTTTGTTTACTGTTTTCATTAATCGAGGGGAGCGTCTCCGAGGTCGATGAGGCTGAAGAGGAGGAAAGGAGGAGGCAGCGAGGGGTGGGTCGTCGGTCTCGGTGGATGCACCAATGCGATCGGGGTTGAAGATGGGGCACCTTTGGTGCTTGGCTGGATCGAAGAGAAGAAGAAAAGAGAATGGAAGCAGCGGGATGTGGGGTCTGCCATTGGTTTCCGGTGACAAAGCTTCGACATTTGGTTGTTTGGTGATCGAGAAGGGCAGCACCGATTCAACAACACGTAAGGGTTCCTTTTTTTTGTTCTTGTTTGATTTGGCAGAACTCGATAGGATCAAGTGGGTGTTTGTTTGATTCCCTTTTTTATCTTCTGTTTTGACTGAAATTTGTGGGGTTTGAGGTGGGTTTTTGGGTTTTGACTAAAATTTGTGAAGATGGGGCACCTTTGGTGCTTGGCTGGATCGAAGAGAAGAAGAAAAAAGAATGGAAGCAGCGGGATGTGGGGTCTGCCATTGGTTTCCGGTGACAAAGCTTCGACATTTGGTTGTTTTGTTATCGAGAAGCGCAGCACCGATTCAACAACAGGTAGGGGTTCCTTTTTTTTTCTTGTTTGATTTGGCAGAACTCGATAGGCTCAAGTGGGTGTTTGTTTGATTCCCTTTTTTATCTTCTGTTTTGACTGAAATTTGTGGAGTTTGAGGTGGGTTTTTGGGTTTGCTTTTTAACAGAAATTGATGAGCTTAATCAATAGATTTTGGTGTTGTTTTGTTGCTTGAAATGAATAGAAAGAAGATGAAGAATGCAATATTTTTTGAGTTTAATCGTTAAGGAGGTTTACTTCTTGAGTCTATAAGAGGCGTTTGGAATGTGATTTATTCATTTGTGCGTATTTGTTTTTTTGTTTGTTTTTTAATATAGATTTATTTCTTGTCGATGATTATAATCGTTCTTTATTAATTTTTGATTAAAAGTGTATGTGGTTAATGAGTTAAACACTTTGTTGACAATAATACAAAAAATTTCTTTGATTTCTTGTAGATGGGTCGAGTAAATACGGATGACCTAAAAGATTGTAACGACGAAGGATGAATGAACATCTTCAACAACTTGGAAGGAATAGAAATGTATTCTATTCATTTATGATTATAATATATAAAGACATTGTCATTTTTATTTGTGATTATAATTATATTCATATATGATTGTAAATGTGTTTTGTTTATTTATTATTACGGATTTAGTTGATGTTTTATCTATAACTGGTGTTATGTTCATTTAAGATTACAAATTTACACCTATATTTCGATGCACAACTAATGTATTTATTTACGATTATAACTTTAATCATTTATGAATGAAAAATATGAATCTTTTAAATGTAATTTATATACTATTTTGTTGTATTCATTTGTGATTAAAACAATATCCATTTGTGATATTTGTGAATAAGAGTGTATATTCATTTATGATTGTGAATAGAAGTGTATTAAAATGGAATCGTAAATAAAAGTGGATTCATTTGTGATTTCAGTTGTACTGATTTCATTTTAAAGAAAAAGAAACGGCCATAAATTATTTTTTGGTAAAAATCATAAAAAAAAAATATTTATATATATTTCATTAACTAAAAGGAAATATTATTTTTTTAGGTAATTGTAATCATTATCCCTAGATTTTAGGAAATCATTAATTAATATTTATATAAAGTTACTAATATACCCTTATAAAATGATTGGTCCAGAACTGTTCTCGCGTTCATATTCCCTTTGTAACATGTCGAGCAAAGGGGACACTTTCGTGAATATTACATATCAAACAGAAAACACATATAAATTATAATAGGTATAATTTATGGAACTTTCAAACTATTATCACGAACCAGTTATACAAAGCTTAACAGATTATTCTTGTACAAATACTTTACATTCAAGAATACTAGAGAAAGATCATACTATCAGTTTATCATTTGTTTAAAAATGACTTTTAATCAGTTGTTATATACGTAATCGTCAATATGCTTTTTGTGAGACAATGTTTAGTTGCTTATTCATTTAGGCAATACAGTTAAAGTCCTGATATTATAACCAGAATCTCCGGATAGAGAACGAGACAAATGTGTACAGATCTATACGGGATTGACAATCTCGCACTCAGACTGTTAGCTACAGTCGGGCAGGCATGCCTATGAGTGACAAATGTCGTTAACAGTTTTGACGCCTACAAAGTGTCATTTCAGGCCAACTAGTCATAGTATGGTTATAATAACTAACCAAAAAGATATGAACAAATACGATTAGTATATAATTAAACCAAAGAGTACGAATACAAAGTACTGGTTTTACAATAATACGATTTACAATATTACATTATCGTTTACAGCTGGTGGAGCCAGGCATACTCACTTTTACAAGGTTTTCAAAGAGTACAATTACACAACTTGGAAAACATAAATAATACAGAAAACATTCTTTATACAGTTTTATGGTATTAAAACTACTTTTCAGTTATATTAGAAAATATTGGATTTTATGATACAATAAACATGATTACTATTTCAAGAAACAAACAGCAAACTTCTAAACATAAATACTTATGCACTCACTCAACTTAAATGTTGATACTTTCTTTTTCAAAATACTTGTATTCTCAAGGAACCAGTACACAGGTACATCCCCGGGATTTTTGAGAAGACGGAGCTGTATAGAGTCATGTCTTCTATCTTTTATAATACTTTTGATGTCATATATACAATGACTTGAAACCATATGTAAAACTTATACATTATTAATGCAATGTTTGTTGTACTTTGATTACTATGATGCATGTGTTGTGATACTTAACACGAAGTCATCCACCCCCGGATGTTTCCGCCGCTCCAGTTTGGGGTGTGACATTACTGTTCATATTCAGAGGTTACTGTTCATTATTCAACGGTTACTGTTCACAGTCAATGCTTCGACACGCTTCAGATTCAACAGCATGTACATTTTGCTCAACCAAAAATCTTCGTTAGTTTGGTACATTTTTTGTTTTCGTTACTTTTATTTCGAAAAATCAAAAACACCAAAAATATTTTTTGTTTTGTTCTTTTATTTCGAAAAATCAAAAATATCAAAAAGATTTTCTTATTTTTCTTATTTTCAATTCATAAAACAAAAATCCAAAAATATTTACTTGCTTTTGTTGTTTTTGTTTTACTTTTATTGTGTAGTGTGTAGCGAAGATTTTTCTTTAATAGCTGGAAGCGAAGATTTTTCTTTAATAGCTGGAAGCGAAGATTTTTCTTTAATAGCTGGAAGCAAAGATTTTTCATGTCACATGCTTGCTGCTTTGATGGAAGGTATATTTTCGAAAAACTTTGTACTAGTTAAGATGTCCCTAGAAGCATGCTGCAGCATGTTGACCCAAGCCTCCATAATGCAATGTGTTTCAAAGCCTTAATGGTTTTCTCATTCTGAGGATTCCTTCCTAATCAGGCTATATTCACATTTGTTTCCAAGCTACCTTACTCTTCTCACATGAGTTAAGAGTTTACTGCTTGGTCCAAACATAGCAGAGGTACATTCGGTTCTTAAACCATTCTTTTTCACCCAAAACTTCTTTCACAAGCACACACAATGACACATACCCAAGACATCTCTGGTATAAACCAACCAGGTTATATGTATGTAAACAATCTGTGTTAATGATCTGTATTCATGAGTCTGTGATGAAAGTGAAACCCAAACTTTTCTAAACATATAAGGAATTAACGGGGAATTTTATTCCAGAGTTTAACGAAACACTTGTTTCAGTACCACAATTTTGATACTCAGAATCATATTCTTTCGTTTTTCGTGGTCTTGATAAAATGTCCGAATCCCACGATATTTTTACCGAACAAGATCCAAGATTAATTTTGGTTTTATGGAATATGATTTCAGTCTGAGTATCAGTTTGATTCTATGTCACTTCATAAATTTTTCCAAAGCATACTTGTCCCTGACTACACTGGTCAAACAGGTAATATCGCTTACAATTTCTCACACTTATGTTTAGTGGTGATATGTAACGAAATTTTTGACCGCCCAAGTAGCCTTAAAAAAGATGCCCTTCGATACTTCTGTACAAGTATTCGATTGTAATTCACGGGAAACCACACAAACTGTTGATCATCTCTCTTGATGATTAGCGAAGTAATATTTGCCTGAGATTTATCTGCCTTTATGTCGAAATTTTATTTTCGACATCACAGCTCCAAAATTTTCTTATTTTGCTTCTTATCTATATCTTTGGCACACATTGCACTCACGAAATCCTTGAGGTTCTGAGTAATACCAACTCAGGCTGAAGATTTCGCAAGACTGGCATATGACTTCACTTTCAATCCCAAAAGTCAAAGAGCCC